CACACACACACACACATATATATATATATATACAGTATATATATATATTTTTTTTTTTTTTAAAGACTAATACATTTATTCAGAATGGAACCATTAAACTGATTAAAAGTGACAGTGAAGACATTTATGTTACAAAATAATTTTATTTAAAATAAATGCAGTTTTAACTTAATATTCAAAGAATACTGGGAAAAAAAGGATCAGTTTCCATAAAAATATTAAGCAGCATAACTGTTTTCAACATTGGTAATCAGAAGAAACGTATACAAGAAGTCAGTACAGAAATAGATATGTAAGTTTAAGACAAGACTCAAAACAATAATAAATGATAAATATTGTAAAATTATATTCACAGCTGGACACCTTTGATGTGCACATAAATTGAATTCTATATTAACACAAATTTGTGACGTCACCTAGCAATTGTAAACAACCTACCATTACAGTATACCAATACCAGAAGTGTCAAAACAAAATCCTTCCCATTATAATCAATCCATGACTCACAAGTCTGAATCAGAGAAATGACTCATACTTACTGAACAACAAGTACCAAAAATGTTTAGCATATGGTTAAGCCTATTTACAGCCATCTCATTACTCAAAACACTAAAAAGATTCATAAATGGAATACATAAGAATTAGAATTGCATAATTGTTGAGTGGAATCTGAATCAGAACCAGAATCATTACATTTCTTGCAAATCTGATCCCTATTACTCATGTGAGCCAGTATATCTGAGAGAACAAATGAAGGAGAGAAACTTCCCAGAGCTTCTGTCCCAGTAGGTTTCATTTACGCCGTTCGCTAACAGCTCAGCACAGGGATCCATTTCTGTAGGAGCGGGAAAAGATATCAAAGCTGACAAAATGAGTCCTTATTTAGGCAATTACTCCTCTCCTACCAAAGCCAAAGACATTTGAGACATTCTGAGCAGATCCTGATAGAAACGTGGAACGCCGCGCTTTTCTTTCCATCAGTACACATCATTTTGAAGGCAAGCACAAACGATTTACCATCATGACTGAACAACAACAATCAAGTCCTCCTCTCTGCTCCCCCTAGCCACTCGCCTCAGCCTCGTCATAACTGCCTCCGATAAGTAATTACAATATAATTTGGCACAGCAGCAACACAACACAGAGAAACCTCAGGCTTGAGCCACTGCCAGGGTTGAAAGCCCCTTGGCTAGAGAGCATAGAGGCTTTTGTGTGTACAGGCTCATCTGCTTGTTTTGTTTATTAATGTGAACAAGTTCCCTTTGGAGAGTTAGGCTGTTATTAGCCTTCATTAAAATTTTGAAGAATTGGCTTGTCTGAGCCCTCTAAGAACATACCAATGAATCCTGATGAATTCAGGCTATCAATAGCTTAAAACCTACGGATGAAGAATCAGATTAATTTCAATCCTCTTCTTTCTCTCTTTTTTTTTATATGCTTTTAACCAATTTACTGTCAACAATTAATTTAATTTAAAACGGTAATACACAGATAATGTTCTGTTGCTGATTTCATGACAGTATATCTTGTAGCAGAAGGATAGGTCTTAATTAATTAATTTAATAAATTAAGTAACATTTTAATGAAATGTGTTTTAAATATTATGTACAAACCATTTTTAAAATGTCTGTGATTATTGGTGGGGATTTTTCAGTGATTCTTCCTGTAGATTACATCAATACACTAGTACACTCTAAAAAATGCTGGGTTAAATACAACCCAGTGCTGGGTAAAATAGAGATAAACCCAGCAATTGGGTTGTTTTGACCCAGCGGTTGGGTTACTACCCAGAAGGTTGGGTTAAACATTTAACCCAACCGCTGGGTCAAAACAGCCCAATTGCTGGGTTTGTCCCTATTTTACCCAGCACTGGGTTGTATTTAACCCAGCATTTTTTAGAGTGTAGGTGGTCAAACTAGTCACTGAGCAAGTCATTGATTCA